TGATTAGTTATTTGATAGTATTTTTATTTAGTTTTAGGCTTTTATTTTATTTTTCTTGTTTAAAACATTCCTTAACTACTCTTATACATTAAGTCAAGTAATATATTTGTTTGACTTAACTGGTGATAACACATTTTATTATTATAATATTCATTATTTAGTTAAGCCAAGCAAGCATATTACAATAGATACTAATAAAAGGATATTTTATAAAATAAGTGAGCAATATAAGAAATAAGCTTTGCTAATGATTAGTAATCATTAATTTTTTAATAGCAAAGTTGCGGAGTTTGCAGAGTTTGCCCACCTATTCTATAGAACATCCCAATAAAATTTTGTCTATATTACAATATAATAATTGTATATTTACTATAAATTATTTTTTTTATTACATATATATAATTTATCTAATTATCTATTTTTTGATACTTACTTTATAATTTTTCTTGTTTTCTTCTAGTATAAATAAATCAATATTTGCTTGCAAATATGGTAGATAAATTAAATCATACAAAATACAAAGTACAAAATACAAATACAAAATATTATATATGTTATACCCCAAATGACAATTTGTTTCAGATGTTAATCTGGCAAAAATTATAAATTAATTAGCCCAGACGTTAAGGTTAGATTTGGGCAATTTTAATTTGGGCTGTCCCAATTGGCAATTGGGACAGGATTGTCATTTGGGGTACAACATATATACAGAAAGCGTTGATATATGCGCAAAGTTACGCTGCGCATACTGCGCGGATCCAATTTATGCTAATATCTCAAAATTTTACTAAATTAACTCTGTCGTGTAACATAAGCAAAAATGTTCCTCTCGATTTTACCTTAGGCTAACCCTAACAATAACCCTAATTTTACCCCTAATATATTAGTATGATCGGGGTTCCTTTTTGTACTTAAGGGGGTGAGTAATTCACCTAAATTATTTTTTTCAAAAATTATAATATTAAACACCAGTAATATAGTTTAACGATTTCATTAATTAATATTAACAAAGTATTATTATACAATTATAATATTTTACAATAAAAATTCTAGTTTATATTAAAATTTTTATAAAAAACTATCTAAAATTTGTTAAATTATTGTTTAAATATTTAAAATCGAGTAGAATCAAGTGTTTTATCAACTTTTGTTAAAAGCGATTTTGAAAATATCAATACATAATATGACATTATAACTATGAATTTTTTGGTTTTGAAAAGTAAAAATGAAGTTTTTTTTTTGAATAATGTTTCAACCTTCACGTAAGCAAGATAACAAAAAATTAATCGTTTCAAAAATTCTATAAAAGTATTGGAGTCACGAATATTAGAAATAACGTGTGTTAAATCTTTAATTTGACGATCAGAATTCTTGCAGATCAGCTAATGAAACAAATTTCCATCATGCTTAATAAAGATTCTTTTATAAATATTTAATTTTATTCAATGTTTGATTGGCCGATCGTCTACCACGTGACCAGTAACAAAAATGCCGCGTAACGGAAGGTAACGAATAAATCCTCCCATTTATATAACCGGATAATAAATTTACACATCAAACACACATGCATGTTTATCTATGCCTTTTTGCCTTAAGTAGACGCCTTTGTTGGTCAAGCCGTTCTTGCTCTTCATCTTCCTTTCTTCCAATCTTAGAAGAACGCGCTTCTTCATTGAACACATCCATTGCAGAGGCTTCCATTAGATCATCATCGTCGTCGTCGTCAAAATGACGGATAGGACGATTACGTCTGAAAATTGATTGAATAATAGACGACACATTCGTTTCATCAATATTATCTTCACGATCTCTTATGTGCTGGCGTTTAGAAGGACGAGATGGCTCAGGTGAAAGATGCATTGTTC